ACTAGACTCTGACCCTGTTATTCGAACGTAGAAGGTGAACCATGAATCGTCATTCCAGAGAACCCATTTCCATTGATCTACGGTCCAATGTCGACGCGCTTTGTATCACATTAAACCAATTGGACCAATTAAACCAAGGATTAGAGGCTTATGAGTGGCAGGTAAGACCATGCGAACCAAGCAGATGTGATTTTTTATGTATGGTATTCACCGAAGCAACACTCCCGGATACCTGTTGAAACTCCTGGCGTATGTGGGTCCTCGGCTGGGTGCGGTTCTTTCGAATTTTTCTGGGCAGGCGCCCGTCGGTCACCTCCCAGGTTCGTGGGTCTGCCGACTTGGGGAAAATTTCTACAATCACAGTACACCTTGCACTTCTGAATCACATAGGCCACTATCGATTTTGGGTAATAAAGCTAGCTAGATATGCCTCTTAAGGATCAGCCATTTCTGTGGTACCCGATGATAATACCTTTTTCGAAATCAGATAACTCTGAACTTCTTGGTATCTCGAATGCGACTAATTCCAATGTTCTTTCATACACGATATTTAACAGCGGAGGGCACTACATATATCGAGACCTCAGATATCGGCATTTGCATAGGTGTCCAAATACAAAATCGGTATATAGTGAAGATCAGGGGTTCTCAACCGGTGGTACGCAGAGAAGTAAAGTGTTTTTAACTAATTAAATTAAAAAATTAAAACCCCAACATCCTGATTGAGTTTTTTCTTTTTCTCTAACACACCGTAAATTTATGTGATCTGAGCTTTGTTCAAGAGTGGTGATGGGAGTAGTACTTTGTAGTGGTGGTACTAAAGGTTTTCAATTTTTGTTTAGATGATACTCGTTAGTCAAAAGGTTGAAAACTGCTGGTGTAGATAATATTAACCAATTACGAAGCTTAAGAAGGGTTTAAAGAAGCATTAAACTGGAAATTTATAAAACACAACGGAATCCCTGTGTTTTATAAAATTTAGATTATTTCTTTCTTAATTATATGCATAAACTTATTTAATAGCAGGAAGATGAGATATAATTTTTTTAAGAAATGTAAAAAATGCCCATTACATTTTTTTAAATACATGCGAGCTCGATGAAGGATAAATTTTACCGAATACAAAGGTAAAGGTATATGAAAAGCTTCAATTTACATTTATTTCCATCAATCTTTTAAAAAATAGGAACTTGCAGAAAATTAAAATGGCCTGTGCTAAGGAAGCGTATGATAACAGCATCACACAATGAGTTTTAAGGCAAAAAATGGCACTCAAGTTTTATGGAATTGAATCATGAACAGCAATCAGAATCGGTATTTAAGATGTCCTGAAAGCAGAAGAGCATTTTCAGTAAGCAGCTTGCATTTTCATTTGCATGAGATTCAGAGGAACTGAGAATTATCACGAATTTTCTACGCAGTTTTAAGGAGGTATTCTCTAAACTGTTAGCTTGAGGTATCCTGTAATGAAAATAATAATGAACTAATAATAATAATTTCAATAACATTGAGAATATTAAGGACACAGAAGTAATAATAACATTAATAATAAGGAATTAACAATAATAGCTTCAAAAATAATGAGAATATTAAGGACACAGAAGTAATAATAATTTCAGTAATAATGAGGATATTAAGAACACAGAAGTAATAATGATAGTAATAACAATGAACTTGTAGGGTTTATGTTTATTTTAACTAATATTTATTTTAAGTTTAAACTATCTTTCCTGTCAAGCCTTACTTTCCCCTGGAATTGCCAATGCCAGAGTATGTAAATTTTAGTAGAACGCGCAAAGTATTCAAAATTGTCAGCGGAAGTAATCTGAGTTAAATAGAAGGGAAACGAGTTCGAAAATGTGCTTTCTTGCTTCACGAGTGTGGAGGTGGCTAGGTAGAAATTGAAGAATCACGCGTTTCGGACTGTGTGCTTGCCTCGGCAGATAGTTAAATCTTTCAACGTAATATTCAGAAGTTTGTTGAATTATCAGAGGTATCTTAAAACGCGGTTAGGTTAGTTACGTTTAGAGAGCCTCGTAGGTAGTCACTTGTTATTATTCATTTTTAGTTTCTTATTTTTATTTTACCGCCGGGTCGGCGTAGTTTGTGAGCGTCAAGAGCACGCATCTGTAATTTCTAAAGTTGAATAAAAAGGGATTTAAATTCTCAAGACTTTGTATACTTTCCAGTTCATAGCAGTAATCACTATTGTTGCGTGCAGGTTGGAAGCGCGCAACATTACAAACTAATAGTAATAATTTCAATAATAATGAGAATATTAAGGACACAGAAATAATAATAATAATGAATAAAACTTAGCTGCATAATTCTAATTCAGAAGACAAACAACAAAAATCAGCGTTATATTTACAAAATTTCCACAGTTTTTGTTGTTTGTTTTCTGAATTAGTATTTATTCGGCGTGTTATTGTGTCTTAATTATAGCTGCATAATTGTTTTTAATAATTTCGCAGATTCTTAATTTATCTTTTAATACGTTCGAACCCCGCTATAAGTTCATGGGAACGGAAGTTTAGTTTGCTATATCTGATGGTTCGCTATATTTGATCTGATTAAAAAAAAATACATTATATCAAAAAATAGTATAAGAATTGATTGATGAATGACACAGAAAAAATAATTAGCATTCTCATATCTCCCAAAAGATGTTAATAGTAACTTTAATTTCAAAAAAATATTAAAAGTTAACTATAATTATTAATACATACAATTCTTAAATTTCTTTCCTTTGTTTTCCAGGTTCATCATACGTTCATAATTTTACAAGTAACATTACGTAGCATTAAAAGTCATGATTTAGAACCGTCATTCTAATTACACAATTCCAACTAAAATACGCTTTTACAAACATGAATAAACATCAGGTTTAAGTGTTGTCTGAGAGCTCATAAAATTCGAAAGATTCAAGCTCAGTGGATTAATGGTTCTCTAGCTCAGTATGTGGTACAACAGGATCTTCTAAGGTATGTTTATTGTGTGCTCTTATTTTTCAAGAAATGCGTGTTACACTTGCCTCGCGTATCACTTTGTTTAGAACACTGAGGAAGGTGGAAGTTAAGATAAAAAAATCTGATGTGTACACCACATGCTTCCTTGTACGGAATATTAAATTATACGCATTTTTTCATGCATTTCATTTAAACTTATTAGATTGAATTAAACCTACTTCGCCGACAGCGCATAAACCACAATAGAACAAATGCATTCTTTAAAATTCACTTTGTTTACCATAGCGACACTTTGGCGCTAGGTTTACTTAACAGTATTATATTTCGTTCATATTATAACTCAGAATGCACAAAATTTATATCATTTAAAGAATTATCTAATCGTTGCCACATGTTCTATGCAAATACTATAATAAAGCTAGAACGATGTATAAAAGAAATTAAGCAAACAAAACAAAAAAGAAACATTTTTTCACAGACAATTGAGTATTTCTCATTCGATTAATTCAGTTTTCACTTCGCGACAAGGCAAAAATACATAAAAACTCAAAATATCTGTATAAAAAATTACAAAGTAAATCTTAAACACTTATTTCCTCGAAAAAATTCCAGAAAGGATTAAGCATGATTTAATTCGCAATAATAAATTAAGGCGTTATCTTTGTTGTTGCGAAGCTACGTTTCTCTAGATTGGCAACAAATCCACTACTCTGCTGTTTCAGATGTAAACAAGCAAGGGCCGCCATCAAAAACATTATTAGGCTTAGCGGCACTTAAACAATTTTAAAATTGTTGATAATTCTAAAAATATTTGCATACAGATTTACTAAAAGCATAAAAACCATAACCGGAAGATAAGAACAACATAATTCAATCATTTTTAAAGCAAAAATGTAGAATTTACAAACATATAAGAGTAAAGCAACTGAGATCACTGAGCCGGGTAACAGAGTGGATATATATATATAAATATAGTTATATACGTTGGTGCGGCCGATTGCAACGAAAATACGAGGTGCACATCTACATGTTATAGCAGTCCTATATACAAAATTTGAACGTTCTGAGGCTACTCGTTTTTGAGTTATGCGAGATACGTACATACGTTCGTACAGACACGCCACGAAAAATTCTCTTCAGAATTCATTTTAAAGCAGTTTTATAATTTTTTTGGAGGAAAAGAGTGTTTTATTCTGTCCTTACGTACAGATATCACGGAAATACATCGTTAAATTGCATTTGAAAGAGGTCAAAATGGGATATTTTCGTTGAAATATGCTGCCTGAATCTTTTCGCGATTACAATACTTCCTTTTTACTTCGTACAAGGAAGTAAAAACAGTAGCATTAAGGGAGTTTTTCGACATTCTAATAGCTTAAACGGGATAAATTTAAAAATTAGTAGTTTTTCAGTTAAAAACTGCACAAATCCTGGATAAATATGAGAAAATTTTTTTAAAAAATTCCAATTCAAGATATTCAAAATATTCGTTATATCGGATTTATATACATTTGGAAGTTCGCTATAGGCGTGCAAAATAAAATTAAGGGACCAAAAAGCTTCTTTTCTTATATTTGGGGGTTGTTCTGGTACGCCATAGCGGGGTTTGGCTGCATTTTTTTTATCTTATATTTTTAACTGGTTTATAATCAGATAACTGGTAAAATTATGACTAAACTTTTCATTCATGTAAGACATATCTCTTAACCACCTAACAGTAAAGTAAATACAAAATAGGTTCTACTTTCAAAATAAACTAATAGCGCTAATGTTTAGACTTTTACAGATTCTCGCAGTTATGCAAAAATTTCAGTCTTCGATTATAAGCCGTTCGTCATAATACGAGTGGAATTCCTACTCAAAAATCTGCGTTATTCTCGAGAATGAGTATAATTGACAATTACAAGTTCGAATTTGCATAACATAAGCTTTCTGCAGCGTTTTTACTTGCAATGACTGGTATCTTTCGGCAGATTTTATATTTACCTGCTCAGACAAATCTCAGTCTATCAAAATAAATAATTAACTTACAATGTAAACTGCGAATCCTTCGATTTCAAGGCAGTTGTCTCCTGGGCACTCGTTGGCATCTGGCATTTGCATCAACAGTCTGCAGGTCTTAGAAGCGTTCATAGTGAAGCCATAGCACTTATTTTCCTGAATACAATAGGTAGCACATTGTATAACTGAAGATTTCTTCATTTCGCCATATTCCTTCAGAGCTTTGCTTTTATGGCCTTTATACACCTCTCTGAAACGTGCTTTCTCGCAGCAAACAGAAAGAACGGAAGAGACAAACATGAGAACTGCAAATGCTAGAAACTTCATTTCTAAGTAAATCCTTCGCCTTTGACCTGCAAATAAAAGAAAACGGGTATTTTCCTCCTTTCCTTTTTTCATTTATAATTTACCCCCCGGGGGTCGACGTAGAGAACTCTGCGAAGCTACTGGCTAGGATCTGTACCTAGGCAGTCTCGGCCACGGGGGATAAAATTTATGAACTTGGTGGTTCTGAAGCCCCTGGGAAAGGTCACTTATTGGCCGGCCTCGGGGACTGGCATGTCCTGAACGGTGTGGAACCGTAGCCGGAGGGCTTGGTTCCCCCCGGTTTGCTGGGTTACGGCCCACTGCGACGGGCTCGCCCATGCGACTGGTAAGAGCATTAGACGACCGGTGCTGCCTGGTGAATTCCAGGTGGTGCGCTGCTCCTTTGGAGGGTAATAGTGGAGGTTGAACCTCCACGACGTGCCCAAAGGGAGAGTAGACCTGTAGTGTGATTTAGTTCACGGGGCAGGGAAGCCTAAATTGTTGTTGTTCTTTTATAATTTGCTTATTCCTTTGTGAAATCGTAAAATTAAAATATAAATTTATGCTTGTCAGGACTTGTGTTTCTCTTGATTTGCTTTGCAAACATGAATGGTCCTGAATAGGAACAGAGAGCTTACTCAAGGAAGGTGTGAAGTAGACAACACAAGCAGGAAGGGTATGCGAAACCCTTTATTTTCAATACTTTACAGGAATTTCCGAAACTTCGGAATACAGAGAGCAACCACTTGTGGTCTGAACATAAGAATATAAAAACTACTAACTAAAACTCTAACTAAAAGCTAACTCTGAATATTACTTAGTATACAAATACTAACTCTGAATATACTCTTAGTATACAAATGCCTAGCACTAAGACTAGCCTTTATTTAAAAAAAAGGTACGTATGTAGTACGCCGACCTGCTGAAACTACAATACGTTTAAAAATATCAAGAGGGCTAAACCTCTGGCCTTAAAGGCAACCAGCAACCGAGTGAAAACTCGTAAAACTACAGTGGCAAGAGGCTTGCTTCCTAAAACTCCTTCTCACTCTCCCGCTTGGCAAAAAGCCACATCTTAAGTACTTGGGCGTTAGCAAGACAATTTGCATAAGCAAGTTAAAGCATTTAATTCTGGCCGGAAGTAGAAAATAAGAAGTGACAGTACAGTTTTAAAATAAACTAAAACGTTAGTAAAACTTAGGATCCTTACAAGCTTATCTCTGCTCAATAAAGTTGCTGAAGCAATATATGAGAGCAAAAGCATTTTTTCAAATTAAGTATATTTGCCGTATCAGTATTATTTACAACGAATATGGCAACCAATGAGAAATAACGCATTTCTGTAATATTAAAAATTCCGATGCAGATATCCTTCTTCTTCTTCAATGGTTAGACAGCCCAGGATGGGCCCTTGCCTTCCTCAGAATCGAATTCCAAGCTCTTCTATCCCTGGCCATGGACATCCAAATGGTTATTTTTAAAATTCTTAAGTGCAGATATTACAGATATAAATAAATGTTGACAGAGGTGCACGAAACCAAACATTTAGGTAGTGCTTTAACTTTCCTTTAGCGGTACAGTGAGAAAGATGATGGTTTTTTTAAGGTCAAATGTTCACATGCGACGACGCCTGGGTGGCTTACGCTGCACCGAAATCGAAGCAGCAATCCACGGAATGGTAGCATTCATCATCACCCAAGACAGTGAAGTTCAAACAACCACTTTCAGTCCAGAAAATCATGTGTACTGTGTTGGGGAACATAAAGCCAAAGAAGGGCTCTGATTCAGACAAGAACACGATTTCCATCCCAGCCCAGGAGCGTAGTAAGATGTAGCGATCCACGGCACCAAGACGGACCGGACAGTACTCGTACGCTCCCTGCCGAGCCTGAGTGGACCACCGAAAAGTCGGTGATATCGCAACATCTTTGCTCAAATCCTGAGCGATGCTGCAAGTGTGGACAGCACCATAGAAGTAAAGAATGCCCTCTAAAGCCAGAAGAAAAACCTAAGTGCATCTTCTGCTCGCTACCGCATGTAAGTTCATACAAGGGTTGCCCCGTGTACAAGAAGCGATATGAAGCAAAGGAGCAGCAGGCGAAGCCAGCAGCTAAGATCCCTATGCCGGCAGATTTTCCGAAATTCATCGAAACAGAGGAAGACAGCAGTAAAACCCAGATGAAGCCTCTCTACAGTGATAGAGTAAAGAAAAAATTGGAAAACCCACCCACAGAGTACTACGATATCATAAACTGGATCCAAGATCCTAAAATCAAAAAATTTCTGAACAGTATGGTTGAGCACGTTGAGAAGATCCACGCTGCAAAAACCACGGCTGAGAAGTTTACTGCCGGGTTCAAAGCAGCCATGACACTGATGAGATTTGCTGAAAGTGAAGAGTAATCACCAGCTTAGAAGCATTTGAGGGAAATTTCACTATGTTTAACGATTTCTTTTACTTTTTCCAACACACAAGGTTCTCCCTGTTTACCAGCAGCAGAAGCTCGGGGTCAGTACTTGGGTGGGTGACCACCCACGTGACTGGCCTCGACGTAATCATCTTTCTTCAACTTAGTGAAGATAACATCACAGCTTGTACGGCGGCCAATGATGAACTCACGACCAGATGCTTGAACCCCTTCGCCCTAGTTCTACTTGACCAACTCACGTGCATTAGCACATGTTCCTGCTTCACCTTTGTCGGTGCGGTGTAAATCATCTTAATTTTTAATTCTTCCCAACGCCTTAGGGCATATCTCCAACAGAGACGGTTACAGTAGCAGAGGCTACTAAATGCCGCCTAACCATTCACTCGATTTCGATTTCGATTTTTTAACCTTATTAGTTAGTTTGTTGTTGCTTTAAGAGTTTGTTTAGAAAACTGCTCTTGTTGACTGTAGCGAATTCGCGGATCAGCTTTCTTTAGCTGTTTTGAATTCTCTTGAACGTTTGAGTAGTTAAAAGATAACTACTTGAGATATTGTAATACTGCACGAATATGAGGAGATTTAAGCATTTTTGTTGTGATAATAATAAATTTTGTTCATTTTTCATTGGACTTATGCATTCATTTCGTAACGAACCCGTACGCACGCAATAATATGAATAGAAAAACTGAGCCCCGAGCCGGGTGACAAAGTGAGAATATATACATATATACTACTTTTCATGCGGCCGATTGCAACAAAAAAGGGGAGGTGGACAGACAAGGCGTTATAGCACTCCCATATATAAAATTTCAGTGTTCAACATCTACTCGCTTTTGAGTTATGCGAGATATATCCATGCGTACGTAGAAACGTCAGAAAAAGTCTCTTGTGAATGCTTTTAAATCCATTTTACAATCCGTTTGTGAAAAGTAGCTCCTTATTCTGTCCGAACACATAGATGTCAAGCAAAAAAGTGTCCAAATGTGTTCGAGAGCGGTCAAAATGGATATTTTTGTTGAAATATGATACTCGAAATTTCTAGCAACTACAATACGTTCTTTACTTTGTAGACACATTAGTATTTATTTGGAAGCAAAAGAGATTGAAAAATTAGCCACGCCTTCGCCGGCAATCGAACCACGGACCTTTGAAATACCGGCCCAGCGTGCAGAACCACTACACCACGATGGCACGCTAGGAAAGTGGAAGAAATACTACCTTATATACACCCCTTTTTAAAAGACGACTGGGGTTTTTAGGGGACCCAGTCGCCAAATCCTGGGTGTTGGAGAAACCTCATCCAACACCCTTTTAGTTCGGGCGCCACTGTAGAGACATTGGGATTTTTTTGGAAGCAAGAGAGATGAAAAATTAGCAACCGCCTTCACCGGGAATCGAACCACGGACCTCTTGAATACCGGCCCAGTGTGCAGAGCCAATACACCACGAAGGCCTTCGCCGGGAAAGTGGGAGAAATACCTTATAACTTTGTACAAGGAAGTAAAAAGAGAGAATATATTTACTTTAGCACTAGATCTCTGTATTCGCACATCTAACAGACTGAGTGAGACATTAAAATACGAGTTGATTGTTTTAGGAATAACATATCTGTGAACAAATTCGATAGTTAAGCCAACCTCCAAAGCGGAGTCTATTTTTAATGACATATTACTAAGAAAATGATGACTTTAATGACGTAATTACTACATCTAAAGACTATTTGACTTTTATACTATAAATTTTTATTTGAGAAATTGTTTATCGTTAAATAATATTCTTTCATGCTTTTTCCCTGTGAGTGAATAGTAGCATGACCCAGAAATTGCTTGCAATTATACAGAGGCTGTTCGCACATTGTTTAGACGATTTTGGTAAGCGGTAATAAAAACTCGTTTGCTGCAAAAGAAGTAATTGCAATTGCACTATGTTTTTTTAAAAGTCAAAATTATCGTCTGTGGTTTGAAAGTTTTGTTTTTATTCAAAATTGCGAATTTAACAAAGCAGTGGTTCGAAGGCTACATTGACGCTCTTTCCGAAGAGAAATATGCATACTCCGTTATCCAAAAAGATGTGAGAGTCATGGTTATGTGATATCGAAAGCGTCGATAGGTAATATCATCAACAAGAAAAGAAAAAAACGTCAAATTGTAGCCTCAAGTGGGACAAAAATTCCAAACAAGTATCCAAGGATAAAACGGTCATCTTCAACTACTGCAAAGATACGTTGTTTAATGTTAAAAGAAAATCCCCCTAGTCAAAGGACAGTTGCAAAATCATTAAAATGCACGGTGTCCACTGTAAACAAAATGATAAACGTTGATTTAAATCTTAAGAAAGCGAAAAAACGCGATGTGCATCGTCTTCTTCCAAAGCACATCGCTCAACGCAGGACACGCTGCAGAATTCTATATGAGGAACACTTATCCAAAGAAAAATGGAAAACAATTGTCACAATAGATGAAGCATGGGTGTATGTAAATGACTGTAACCAAAAAAAAAAAAAAAAAAAAAAAAAAAAAAAAAAAAAGCCATTTATTGTCATAAAAGGGGAGGAAAAAATTTAAGTACATGGTTCAAAGAATCGAAAGAAAGTTTTTCTAAGGGATTCATGATTGTTGCTGGTTTTTCTTATAATAGCAAGTTAAAAATAAAGAGAGTGCAAAAAAATGTCAAGATTAACTCCAAATAATATCAGGAATATATTTTATCACCAATTTTTCTGAATGAAATACCATCGCTTTACCCACAGTGCCATCCATCTGTGAGACTCCATCAGGACAAAGCTAGCAGTCACACATCAAAATCCACTGTAAATTTCCTAAAAAGAAATGGAACAGAAAACTGGTATCAAGGCCATACCCTGCACTGATATCTCTACTAAATCTCCCGATGTGTCACCTAGGGATTTCTGTGCTTTCAGACATTTAAAAACTGTATTATCCAAACGTTGTCAACCCTAACAGGACTCTGGAAAGCTGTTCGGGAGGAATGGGATAGAATATCTCTTCTGCCACTTTAAAAGGCATTATTATCCTGTAAATTGCGGGGTCAAAAGATAGTTCAGAATGAGGGATGTCAAATAAAGCATTTAAAAACACAAGAATTTTATGTAATTTAGTTTTGTGAATACAATATACTTCGTCTAAAAAATGTGTGAACAGCCTGTGTACATGCCGAGCATTTAATAATCAAACTGAATAAGACGTGTCTAGAAACACTTATTATCTAACTGTCGCTTTTAGAAAGATATAGTAATGCAAAGAAATTAATTCCATAGGAATATACTTACCAGGTCGAACGAAATTGGAAATGAAGGCGAGAATTAAGTCACTGATCAAAACACGCATTCCGTGACAAGATCCTTTAAACTAATGTTTACTTTGGACAAAATTGTATGCGTGCGATGTTTGAGTGTTGAGAAATGAACGATATGAGTAAATAAAGACTGTTGCCTTAGTGTTTGTTGTTAGTTGAAATGAGCAATAGGACGGTACATATAATGTTTTTCTTCATGTTCGTTTCAAGAATAAAAGCAGAACTTTAAAATGTCAGCATACATTAAAGAGGCAATAATAAATTAGTAATTAAAAACTGTAAAATGAAACTTTTCTTTACTATCTAACACCTCGAAAGCTTTACCATTAAAATTTTCTAAAAATGAAAAATAACATAAAATTTAAAATTCATAAAAATCATATTTTATTATGATGACAATTTTTTTAGACCAAAAGGAACGTAAGTTCCGAAAGGATATTAGTCACGAAATGGCATTTTGCGTCGAAAAAAATTGAATGCTTTGTATCATTCTTCAAACTGTCTCCACCAAATATAATCGTCCTGTTATATTTAAAGAAACTGAATAATGAAGCATCTGCATGAATGTATGTGTGTTTCTCGCAATGTAAAAAAACAACGGTACCTAAAGTCATCGAATTCCGAATAACGTAGTCCTCCACCCGAACATATGCACCTAAAGGTCCTGCAAATTTTGAATTTCGAATTTTTTTATTATCGTTTTCATATTTCGTAAAAATTTAACGATTTTATAATTTATAAACTCAACTATTTGAAAAAGGAGCAGTGGCAACACTGTACGGAATAAAATATTGTTATCTCCAGCACGCGAGACTCTCTATCAGAAATTCTAAATATATACTGTTTTTAAGTATTTTGTGATTTTGCCGCTGTATCGAATTTTATGTGGCGTAATGACATGATATTTAATAAATAAAGTAAACACAAAACACATTAATAATAAACACACACGCAAAAAAAAAAAAAAAAAAAAAAAATTTTGTAAAGCCACCTCTGTAAGAAAACTGAACATTAATATGATAAACTGAGAAAAAGACTGAAAAAAAAAAAATCTTTATGTAACACGTAACGATGCCTAAAATAAAAGTATACTATGTGCTTTTAAAAATTTTTGATTGTAATTTTGTTGCTAAATTGTATACGGCGAAAGTGTGAAAAAAATGATGCTTAATAATAAAGCTAAAAAGCGCCCCCCCCAAAAAAAATAGTAGTAGTGAGTGTGACAGCAGACTGGTAGAATTCAACGAGAGTGTAAAAAACCTCAACAAACCCTTTTGGGCGACCGTTAAAATCTGAAATCTTTCCGATTTTTTTAAACTTGTGATTCTAATACTTTTAAAACACTTTGAAGTTTTTGCATTGAATTAAATTATTAATATGCCAAAGAATAAACGAGCTTTCCCTTAAATGAGTCACAAAATTGGCTGTCCTTGAAGAAAGCGTTGCAAACTTTGTCCTAGAAAATTGTTATGAATTGGGTTAATTGTAACAATAATCAGACATACATTTATTTGCCTCAAAGCGGGCAAAAAAGAATGCAAATAAAAGTGAATACTTTAAAGCAACTTTGATTGGATTTAGTTGATTTCTGGCACACTGTCACATATTTGAAATTTGCACACTAACACATTTCAAATGGAAAAGTACATTACAGTACTGCATATTACTGTACTCATATGTAAACAGTATATGGGCATTAGTATTACATGTATTAATTAGTACAGTACAAAGTCCGTAATCCGGACTCGTCGGGACTTCGCGATTAAGGGTTAGGGTTTTTTCCGGATTATAGATCCTCAATTTAAATCTGGTAAGATGGTATGCAGAAATTATGCAATTAAAGTATGAAACCGTAATTTATAAAATAATGAGCAATTATGATCTAAAGGGTATCAAAATTTAAAAAAAAAAAAACAACTTAATATTTATTTGTTTATTTTATTAAACATTTTTTAATGTACGTGTTTAGTGGCTTTTTTTGTGATATACTTTTCTGTTAATTCTAAAACAGACATGATTTCTGTTCAGTTACAAAGTTCCACTGGTCAAGTCTGTTATAAGGTTATTTTCTCACTTCCTAGCGTGCCTTCGTGGGTACGGTGCACGCTGGCTGGTATTCGAGGTAGCAGTTCGATTCCCGGCGAAGGCGGTTGCATATTTTTCATCTTTTCTGCTTCCAATTAACCTAATGATCTACAAGTGGCGCCCGAACTAAAAAGGGTTGTGGATGATGAATCTTAGCCCAAGGATTGGGCGACTAGGTCCCCTAAAACCACCAGTCGCCCTTTAAAGGAGGAGTATAAGGTATTTCTTCACTTCCCTAGCGGGCCTTCGTGGTGTAACGGTAGCACGCCTGGCCGTATTCCAGAGGTCCGTGGTTCGATTCCCGGCGAAGGCGAAGATTTTTTCATCTTTTCTGTTTCCAATTACCTAATGACTTACACTGTAATTGCTGTGTCGAGAATACCGACTAAATTGTCAATGGAAATTTTTTCGTTTTCAATAACCTCTCTGTAACTTCTAACTCTTTATCGGAAGCGCGCATGGGTAAACGCTTAACGCGCATGCGTAAGTTTGTGGCTTTGAGGTCCAGATTATAGATCATTCCGGATAATCGACGTCCGGATTACGGATTTTGTACTGTATTGCATGTATTACTGTAAAAAGTAGTGACTGTATGAAACTGCAGTACTGTTTCATATGGTAGGGAATAAAACAAGTGATGTGAAACGAACATAAACGGTTCGCATTTAAAAAGCAAGTAACGAAAAGTCTCACCTCAACATAGAGCTTTCCCGCCTAGCGGTAGGTACAAAATTAAAAACCGTTGTTATTTTCAGAAGAAAATATTTTATTCTTTAATTTTTCAAATAGTGTTTTTCAAGTTCATAAAGAATGTATTTTCTTTCAAATAAACAGCATTTAGGTTATATGTAGGAATCTTTTTTTTTTTTTTTCCTTTTATCTTTTCTTTTCCTTACTTTTAAATCTATCATTTCTCACCGTTAATTTTCGGCGCGTTATATACGGTATGTGTTTTTAAAGTAGTAGCGTTAGGATAGGAAATCGCAGTAACGTAATTATTTACCATTTTGTTTCTTATTTTATCGATTTATACTCAGTACAAAAGTCTTTAAAATTACTGTGTACATAATGTGACGCTATTAAAACATATGATTTCTTTTTCCAATTAAACATATATTTCAAAAACAAAATTAATGTTTGTTACAACGCAAGCTGCATTTAAGGGAGCGAAGACCCCCAGGCGACTCCATCAGTTATGTTTCGGCCATGCCTTTTATGAAGAATGACGCTCTCTTTCCTCGTCTTACTTTTCGAACGAAGTTTGTTCTTCCATTGTCCTATCCCACTTTTGACCTTGAAATCACCACCCCCTCCGGGTAACGAATGGTCAGCTTTGCGAACGGTAAGGGAAGGAGGATTTTCTTTCCATTTTGCAACTGGTTAATTCTCACTTTAGCGAAGAGTAAGCTGTTTTTAGGAACAGATCTATCAGATTCACAACAGATCACGTTCTTGATAGTTCAAAAATAGCCCTAAAATTCATATACAGCATAGAATTTGTGTTCTAATTAGACTACGTTCGCTACAAGGTAAGTTATTTATATTTTACTATTCTATGCCAATAATATTTATTATTTAGTAATTTTAGATTCCCGAATGTGTAGGTAAGCAGTATACAAACATTCATACTTTTAGATTTACCTGTGCCACATTTGTATAAGTCCTGAAATCTCGGTAAATTCCAAGGTATATTTGACAAGTAATTATATGTGCAAATTTACTGACTTTCAAATAAACAGTGAGGGGGCAAAAAGTGCTTTTAATATGTTTCGTTCTTATACCTGTCTTCAGGCCCTATAGGTAGGCTTGCCAGATTTCAGAAATGTTCAATCGGAACCCCGGAATGCCCCCCCCTTTCTCCTGACTTTTGTGTATTTTAAGAACTTGGTGAACATTCCCTAAACAGTCTTCTAATATTTACTCAGTTTATGATAAAAGCACACGAGACGCTATAAGGTAATTAAAAAGATTACTCGTTATGACATCACTAATAAAGATATATTTTTAAAAAAATTTTGTGGCAATTTTAAATTTAAATTTTTCAATCGCTCAGTTTTTCGTTTTCCTTTTTTTTCCCCCAAATTTTTAATAGAAAGATTATGTTTTGAAGTTTTCAGATTACAGTTCTCCCCACTACAGGTTCAGGTTCAGGGGGAAATGTAGTGGGACACCCAATGTTTAGTATAAGTAATGTAGGTACAGTCTCACTACACTTCGGTTTAATTTTAAAGTTAATATTCAAAATAGTACATAGTATAAATAAACACAAATATAACAGAATAAATAGTATATCGATATTTTGATTGATATCATATCTATTAGATAATTATAGAAGTTAAACAGGTATAATAATAGTAGGCTAACAGTCTAATTTGTAACAGTTCATAACAGTTCCTTGAGATAAAGTTTATTTGTGAACTGTATTTCTTCCTCTTCTTTTTCCTTTTTTTTAACTATCATTATTCTTGCAAGGGTTTTAAGATAATTAGATAATAAATGTTTAGATGAATTGCAGCCAAAAATGAGTTGGACATAATTGCTTTAGTGCTCCCTATATTTTTGCCTATTGAAGACAGATATTTGATTGTATTCTATTTTTTTTAAATGTTTGTTGGAATTACAAAACAAGGAAGGCAGTGATTTTGATTTAGGCAATTTAAAATGATGTGACTTTGTTAAGGGATTTGGTATATAATGGATTGGATCACCTTTATTTCCACATTCACATTGCTCAGAGTTTTGATTGTGAATATGAAGAGTTTGTGTGAAATGGCCCATGTCCAGTAAAAAGCGGTTAATATAACCATTGACCATTGTACATGTATCATTTACATGAGGTGCTATTTGATGTAATTGTCTTCCTATATTTATTGTTGTCCATTCTTCTTCCGACATTTAAAGGCTGATTTTATGCAGATATTTCTTGAGGTATGATTTCGGCCAGGAGATTTTTCTTGAAGTAAGAATAGTAATAAGATTCTTGAAGTAATAAGATTTCCCCACTACAAGCAG